TTTCAGAAAGAATAAGGCCACACGTTATTCTCCCTTCTGACAAGCCAAAAACATGCAAGTTTGAATCCTCTTCAAGTTGAGGAGCACTTCTAGCACGAAGAGAGGATGCTTACCTTTATAGCTTGTTCATGTGCTGACGGAGTAACCTGTGAGTACTGCTTTAAACCTGCCATGGGAGAAAACTGGTTCAACTGCCTTGATTTGCTAAAGCAATCTACACGCATATTCTGCTGACACATCGTTATTATTAGCACTAACTACTACACACGATCCTAGGAAAGCAATTTTGCAAACCATACCTCCGTAGATCTTTCTGTTCTTCCCACTGTTTCTGCTTCAATAGTTTCTTCCTTTGCCGCTTGGACATGGGCTCAAGGCATTCTTCTTCCTTGTCTGAGCCTACCTCCTGTCTCTCTACTGGATTGTCACTTGACTTCACCTCTCCTTCCGCATCAGGAACTTCAGGGGGCATGGTATTTTCCGTTGGCACCTCTGGACTTTCTCTTGGTGTTTCTGATGACATTAGCTTTTGGCTGGGTTTCCTGACTTCTTAACACACAGCAAGTATTTCATTAAAAGCGAGCTTTTCCCTCACCAGTTCTGTAAGAAACAAAACAGTAGTACAAGTGTTATTAACAAGAAGTTCGATGAGAATGAATATCTCTCTATACCTACCATAAACCTGAATAAACAAAAAATAATAAATAAGAGATGGCCTGATTTTGTTTAAAACTAGGTTAGCGTGTCTGAAAATAGTAACATATAAAATACTAGAGACTATCATACTATCATGTCTAAAACTCTGCCTGCTACATCTGCAGCTATTCAACAGTTTCCAATTAAAAACTTCGTGAAAACACAACTGCATAAAAGTAGGGAATCATACTGGGTTAAACATAAAAGAAAAAAGCATTAGCAGTACTATTACGTGTACACAAACTACTCTCAAATACACAAACAGAAAAAACTAAAGAGGTATCCTGTGACATAACTATGGCAGCATATTAGAGAAATGTAATTTTAAAGAGACTAAAGCCATTTTGGGGAAAAAAAAAAAAGTGTGAACAACCTGCCCCCCTTCAAAATTATTTTTTTTTTTTTCTGAGAACCAAAGCCATTGGCCAACCACTGACACTGGCCACTGTCAGTGGACAATACATAGCAAGTAAGGGGATGAACAGACTAAACGGTTACTCAGCAAAACGTTCTGCATTCAAATCAATTACAATTATACCCTCTCCTTTTCAATGGCAAGTATTATTTCTTTCACACTTGTAGCTCCTCTATGCCCAACAGCAGCCCAGTTTTCCAAAGATAACTACTTCAATGGAGAACACTGCATCTACAGAACCAACACGCAGAAAAAAAAAAAAAAAAACAAAAAAACTGAAAAAAGCCTTCAAAAGTACCAGCAGAGGATAGATTTGACAACACCTTAAGTTTTCTAACTTGGAGGGATCACATCCTGCCAGGTTTTTTTTTTTTTCATCTGTTTAAGCCAAGGGAAAAAGAAAAAATCTCAAAAATCAGAAATCATATCTAGATATTCCCTACCCTATACAAAACACAACATGATTAAGTGATCCAAGTTTTTCTTGGTACTCTATATGAAGTAAAAAGGAA